TCAGCTTTGCATTCACATTATTACATATACACAATACACACACACACACACACACACACACACACACACTACTGCAACTGACAACATTTAACCACCAAGCAACGGCAGAGGATTTCAGGACACCTAAAATAGTGTCACTTGTGATTTCATGGAAACTTGATCAGCGTGAATAATTGAAATAAGAACCAAATTCAAAATATGGGTAAGAATGTTTGTGAAACCTCATAAGTGCAAAAGCACCCGGTTGATTTAATCAATTGTGTTTTTTTAAGCTTTATTGACCCCCGGTGGATTAGAAAAGCACCTCAATCCAAGTATTCTTCAACAAAAACAACACTCACCAGTCACAACATCTATTCACACTACACTTCAGCATACTAAAGGATAGAGTCAAACAAACTACAACACAACATATCATGACTGAACACTGTTCAACAGAAGGGAAATTATAGACGTTTCCTCAGGCGAATGAAAACTAATCCAGAAACAGATCCACTTGACATTACAGAGAATCATATTTCATAACCATTTACTGCTGAACAGCTCAAACGGCTTCTTTAGAATTAGCCTACATTTGATTAAATCATTTCACAACAGCTTAAGAGGTGGAAAATTAAAATTATACTATAATCACAGTGAATTTCAAAGCAATTTGTTTTAATATTACCTATCAAGCACACATTCAGGTGGATGCTGATTTTTTTTTTAACTTATTCTTATTTTTTAAAGAACAGATTTATTAAAAGTTAACAAGAGTACATAAACCAAAGGAGGAGGAGGAGGAGCTGGTATGTCAAAAATTCCATACATGCACACATTTTCTATCCTTTGGTGTAAACCATAGCATGGACTCTCAGGCCCCGTTTAAACGAGAACGATTCCGGGTGAAAACGTAAAAATATTTTATCGGATGTGCCGTTTACACTGCAACGGCGTTTTGGGGACTAAGGCCCTGTTTACACGAAAACGATTCCGGGTGAAAACGTAATAATATTTTATCGGATGTGCCTTTCGTTTACACGGCGACGGCGTTTTTGGGGCTTAAAAACGCAAAAAAGTGAAACCACCCTCCAAAGTGGAAATCTTAAAAACGCTCCACCGTCGCGTTTCCGTCTAAACGGGTAAAAACGCAAATCTGCTCATGGTGGCTCTCGTCGCGTACGCATTTACGTCACAGGCATGCGCCAGTACAGGAAAATAACAACCAACATGTCGGATTATTTCCATACGTCGGACCTTCAAGTTGCCCTAGCAGCTCTGATAAACGTCCAAGAGTCTTTTCAATTTCGCGCTACTAGGGAGAGAAGTAGAAGGAAGGTTATACGCAGGCGCACGGACTTGTTGTTGTTGTGTGGCAGTGCTTCACATTGCCACCTAGCCGCCTGGAGTGCACACTACATCGCATTTCTAACACTTTTGCGTCTCCATATGCACGCAGATTTCCCCCCCATAACGCTCGTCTAAACGCAGAATAAAAAGTGAAAACGAAACGCCACTTTTGCGTTTTCTCTTCAGATCGTTTCCGTGTAAACATGGCCTTAAAAACACAAAAAAGTGAAACCACCCTCCAGAGTGGAAAATAAATCTCAAAAACGCTCCACCGTCGCGTTCCCGAACGGTAAAAACGCAAATCTGCTCACGGTGGCTCTCGTCGCGTACGCGTTTACGTCACATGTATGCGCCAGTACAGGGAAATAACAACCAACATGTCAGATTATTTCCATACGTCGGACCTTCAAAATGCCCTAGCAGCTCTGAAAAACATACAAGAGTCTTTTTAGCAGTTGTACAAAATATTCTAAGATATTGGTGTTGTTGTGTAGCTGTGCTTCACATTGCCACCTAGCCGCCTGGAGTGCATACTACTTCGAATTTCACACACTTTTGCGTCACCATATGCACGCTGATTTCCCAACCATAACGCTCGTCTAAACGCAGAATAAAAAGTGATAACGCAACGCCACTTTTGCGTTTTCTCTTCAGATCATTTCCGTGTAAACATAGCCTCAGTAAGACCCGAGTCGATGCACTAAAAACGGAAACGTTTTTCCTTTGCGTTTTTCACGTAGGCCTACAGACAACAACGTTTTCAAAGCGATCACAGATCTGCGAAAACAACTAAACTGCTGTCAGGCCAGGAGATGGCGATGTCACTTTGTAAAAAAAGAAACACTATGTGCCTATCAACACGTCACACATGCACATGACGTTCTCGTTTTCACAAATTCATGTTTTTGTAGTTTACACAGAGATGTTAACGATATCAGTTTCAAAAACTTGCACTTTGAAACCTGTTTTCAAAAGTTTGCATTTTCAGGCCCCCAAAATGCCATTGTCGTGTAAATAAACGACCAAAACACATCAAACGTGTTTTGTTTCTGTTTTTAGTTGAAAATGGCATTGTGTAAACGGCCTCTAAAGCTCATTTAGAGGCCAAAAAGTGACAACCAAAAAATTTGATAAAATAAAATATATGGCAAAAATATTTCAATCATTCTGCATCACTGCACATTTGCTATTTGTTTTTAAAAAATTTGGAGATTAAACATTAGGATTATTTTTGACATTTAAAAACACCCTTTACCTCTCTGCTTTGCATGTGAAAGGAATAAACGTCTAAACCTATAGGGCTTTGCAAATCATTTACATGAAGATCGGAGAAGAAGAAAATCCTCTGTCTGTTCCCATTTCACAGCAATCAAATGCAAGTTCAACTCTCTAAACCATAATCAGTGGTGCTTTCTAAACTCAGTTGTACTGTAGCTCATACTTTGTGCTTGATCAAATCCAGTGCATTCTGTCATCATTTACTCGGCCTCAAGTTGTTCCAAACCTGTATGAATTTCACACAAATAAGATATTTTGAAGAATGCTTGTAACCAAACGATAGCCATTGACATGCATAGTATGAAAAAACAAAACAAGTCAAGTATACAATTCAATCGCATTTCTGCCACTCAAGAACCAGGGGATATTTTGCATTTGAAGCAGACTAATAATAATAAACCAGCAGCAACAAACAGGCATACTCCATTTGAATTGAACATTAATGTTTCTGTGTACAAGAGAATAGCAACAAAATGGCTGTAAAACAACTATACTTCTTAGTGAATAATGGCAAGGAGCATATAAACACAATTAAAGATGGTCCCCCATGTCATGTAAACATCCTAATAATAATTATTCAATTTGATTTAACTTCATAAAAATGACTCAATCTATTATTATATTTGAATTGAACATTCTGTGTTGCAGTGCAGCAAGTGGCGGTAAAACAACTATATATCCTAGGGAATAGACATCCTAACAATAATTTAATCAGGATTAATTGTGCAAGAATCAGTCATAACATATTAGTGTACATGTAATCAAAGGCAATGTCTGTATAATCTGTTGCGCAAATGCAAAAAGTTAAGGTACACTTTGACAGTCGATAGGTGTTCTTTGAAAATTCCACAGGCCTGACTCAAAGACAAGCGTTGTGTAAGAATAAACACATCTATACCCCCCCCCCCCCCCCCCCACACACACACACAAAACCATCTACTGCGGTGACATCACTCTATGCCGTCATAAAACACCACTGGGAAACTCCAACATGACAATCAATGGAAACCAAGGCCCTGCCCTGAAGACACTGGTCAACCCAAGAGGAACAGCAGCAGAACACGGCTTCTTGCCCTGCCGGATTATGTTTGCTGCTGTCACTAATAAAATCGTGAAATTCTCTGTATGTAATATTGAAAACAAGAACTTTTTGGCTTTGCGTGCCATTGTGTTCTGTTATTAAGACACAATGCAAAGTTGTGCAAATCCAGGAGCTATCTTTTCGTCTGGAGCGCTAGTCCATTTTAACACCTTGATAACTTCCAAGCAAACACACAAACATCCACTGAGCAAGTGGCATAAATGTGTCTTTATATTATGCCATCATACTGAAGTACATTTTTGAGGATTCATGCACCCGTAACCAAGACTGAGTTGAATACTAATGCTAACAGATAAGATCTCCTCTCCACAACAGGAAAAAGTTTATCCTACATTGAACTACTGAAAGCCAAAAGGGACAAAATTAAGTTTACCAGCACCAGCTCAGACTAAAGTTAGTGGGGCCTATTTAGTTTTTGTTCTATTCAAATGTAAACATTTTCTTCATAAAAATGAATTGATGTAATTTTTCAAAATGTATTAGTAAAACAAATACTTCTGAACTCTGATTGCATCAGCCGTGTTTGAAATGCAGATCAACACTGCGAATGCATATTCTATACATTGCTTTTTTAGACTAATGGACTAAATGACTCTGATTATTATTAATAATTTAAACAACACTTAAAAAAGGTTGCTGCCTTAAAATACAATCAACTTGGATGTTAAAGTCATTTCAACTTAAATCACATTAAACGGACTTAAAAAATGTGTATAAAAACAGTTTATAACAACTTATTGATCATATCAAAGTTTTTAATAAAGTTTTAATATTTTTGTATTACATTATTTTATATTATATTAAGATGTGTCTTGGATCACAATTACTATTAATAATAATAATAATAAATGTGAAGATTTAGACTTTTTCAACTTTTATATTTTATACTTTATATTACATTATTTTATATTAGAAAATGTATTGTTTAATATAATTTTTTATTATATATTTTCTATATTATATAAATTATATTAAGTATAATACTCTTATAACTAAATGTAAATATTTTGACAATGTTTTTTTTTTTACTTTTATGCCTTGGAATTTTAACATCTGGAAAATTGGTGCATTTTATAATATTGATCTTGGCACCATTAGACAAAAGCAATAAGTTATGCATTACAGTGATTATGGTTATGGGAGTTTAGACAGGGAGTTTTTTTTTACCTCAAAAGAACACCATTTTACATGAGATAAAATCCATGTAATGTAAAGTCCCTTATTAAAACATATATCACAATATTAATAAATAAACAATATTCCGAAATGTAATGAACTCCACTGGCCTCACCTCATCAGATTGTGTTTGTGGCTCCAGCAGATGCTCTGGTTTGGACTCAGATACAGGTGTGTGTTTACAGGGAGAGTTCTGTGGACTGGAAGCTTCAGGCTCAGATCCCGTCAGCTCCTCCACACTTCCCCGTTCTCCACACGGCTCTTGGGATCCAGGATCATCGGACTTTGGTTCTGGCTGGAGGTTCCGCTCAGGTTCTCTGGATGGAGACGGCGTTGAGGAACGTCTCGCTCCGGTTCCCCATCTTCGTGGTTTGACTGAGAAGTCGTCGTAAAGCACTTCGCTGAGTTGAGGAGAGGCCGAGGAGACGAGAGTCTGAGACGCATCAAACGATATTAGATCCAAACTCGTAGGAACTTCCTCTCGAAGAATCTCCACTGATTTACACCTCTCTATCTCCTCTTTCTTCAGTCTCTCTTTCTCTCTCTCTCTTTCCTGCGTCAGTCTTTCTTCTTCCATTCTTTTTCTTTCCTCAATTTCTCTCTTTTTTTTAATTCTCTCCATCTCTCGTTCTTTTCTCAGTCTTTCCTCTTCTTTCTGTCTCTCCATCTCCTGGAGTGTTCGTCTCTCTTCTTCCATTTCTTTTTCTTTCCTTATTCTCTCCATTTCTCGTTCTTTTCTCAGTCTTTCCTCTTCTTTCTGTCTCTCCATCTCCTGGAGTCTTCGTCTCTCTTCTTCCATTTCTTTTTCTTTCCTTTTTCTCTCCATTTCTCGTTCTTTTCTCCGTTTTTCCTCTTCTTTCTGTCTCTCCATCTCCTGGAGTCTTCGTCTCTCTTCTTCCATTTCTTTTTCTTTCCTTATTCTCTCCATTTCTCGTTCTTTTCTCAATTTTTCTTCTTCTTTCTGTCTCTCCATCTCCTTAAGTCTTCGGCTCTCTTCTTCCATTTCTTTTTCTTTCCTTATTCTCTCCATTTCTCGTTCTTTTCTCAGTTTTTCTTCTTCTTTCTGTCTCTCCATCTCCTGAACTCTTCGTCTCTCTTCTTCCATTTCTCTCTCTTTCTTTAACCGCTCTTCTTTTTCTCGTTCCTGTCTCAGTCTTTCCTCTTCTTTCTGTCTCTTCATCTCCTGAATTCTTCTCCTCTCTTCTTCCATTTCTTTTTCTTTCCTTATTCTCTCAATTTCTTGCTCTTTTCTAATTCTTTCTTCCTCTTTCTGTCTCTCCATCTCCTGAATTCTTCGTCTCTCTTCTTCCTTTTCTTTTTCTTTTTTCAGTCTCTCTTTTTCTTGTTCTTGTCTTAATCTTTCCTCCTCTTTCAGTCTCTCCTCTTCCATTTCTCTCTCTTTCTTTAACCGCTCTTCTTTTTCTCTTTCCTGTCTCAGTCTTTCCTCTTCTTTCTGTCTCTCAATCTCCTGAATTCTTCGTCTCTCTTGTGCCATCTCTTTTTCTTTTTTTAGTCTCTCTTTTTCTCGTTCTTGTCTCAACCTTTCCTCCTCTTTCCGTCTCTCTTCTTCCATTTCTTTTTCTTTCCTTATTCTCTCCATCTCTCGTTCTTTTCTCAGTCTTTCCTCTTCTTTCTGTCTCTCAATCTCCTGAATTCTTCCTCTCTCTTGTGCCATCTCTTTTTCTTTTTTTAGTCTCTCTTTTTCTCGTTCTTGTCTCAACCTTTCCTCCTCTTTCCGTCTCTCTTCTTCCATATTTTTTTCTTTCCTTATTCTCTCCATCTCTCGTTCTTTTCTCAGTCTTTCCTCTTCTTTCTGTCTCTCCATCTCCTGAATTCTTCGCTTCTCTTCTTCCATCTCTTTTTCTTTTTTCAGTCTCTCTTTTTCTCTTTCTTGTCTCAATCTTTCCTCCTCTTTCAGTCTCTCTTCTTCCATTTCTTTTTCTTTCTTTATTCTCTCAATTTCTCGCTCTTGCCTCAATCTTTCCTCCTCTTTCAGCCTCTCTTTCTCCATTTCTTTTTCTTTCCTTATTCTCTCCATTTCTCGTTCTTTTCTCAGTTTTTCTTCTTCTTTCTGTCTCTCCATCTCCTGGAGTCTTCTCCTTTCTTCTTCCATTTCTCTTTCTTTCTTTACTTTCTCCTGTCTCAGTCGTTCCTCCTCTCTCTGTCTCTCTTTTTCTTCTTCAGTCCTCCTTTTCTCCTCTTCAATCTGCCTCTCTCTTTCTAATCTCTCCTGCTCTTGTTGTCTCTCCCTCTCCTTTTCGGCCTGCCTCCTCCTCTCCTCCTCTTTTCTTTCGTCTTCAATTTTTCTCTTCCATTCTTCCTCTTGCTTTCTCCTTTCTTCCATCTGCCTTTGCTTCTCCTCTTGTTGTTTTCTCTCTTCCTCTCGCTGTCTCTCGATTTCTTTTGCCTTCCTCTCCTCCTCCAAACGTCTTCCCCTTTCGTGCTGCTGCTGTCGTTCTTTCTCTAACTGCTCATCTTTTCGCTGTTTTTCTTCCTCTTCCTTTTGCTTTTTCTCCGCATCTATGCTCATCCTAACCCTTTGGTAAACAGGAACAGCGACATAGTTCTCCTTGTCCTCTTCAACTTCATCGTCTTCCTCTTCTTCTGCGTTCTCCACACTAGCAGCAGAGTTCTTGATTTCTGATGTATTTTGTGGTTTGTCAACAGGAACCTTCTCTGTTTCTCTTTCAGATGATCTCTCATTCGTCTTCTCATATGGTGGACTGCAAATAGAAGAGTTTGGAAATATGTTACAGCTTTAAAGGTGAGGACAACATAAGGCCAGAAACATACATACTTGACATTCCTGCCAACATTTTCATTGCCCACACCACAAAATAATGATCCATTTTTATCTTTAGCTATGCATTCACTGATAAAAGTGATTCTGTGGTGAAGTAAATACTAGAGAAAAAACAAATGTAATTTTTACCTGAATAAGTTAGTTCAGGCAAGAATTTAAAAAACAAAGTAAATTCTATAATAATACTTAATTTAAGCTTGTAGATTGTACATTATAAAATTAAGTAAAACCTACTCAACTTTCTGATACTGGTGTTCCCATAATGCAGTGGGGCATGAAAATTAATAAGGTTGCATGTTCACTGTTTCCAGTATTTATCATGTTTTATGTTTTATCAAATTGCTTTTGTAGTTAGGTTTAGTAACTTGCTGTTTTGTGACATCTGGAGTTTATTTTAAGTTTAACTCAAAATGACAAATTCATACTGAAAAATTAACGAATGTTACCGTTATTGTGTATTTTGTACCAAGTATTAAGGTCTCTGCATGTGTTCAGCTGGGTACCACATTACTTCTATATGTTGTCTACACAATATATACTGTATTTACTGAGATGTACTAAGAAAAGCATACACGTTAAAAGCATGGCTTCACTGTCTTGGGTAAAATGTATTTCAAACTAAACTTCAACTAAGTAAAAATTACTCAACAAACTTTAACTGGCCAATTTAGTTGGCCAAAAACGTGCAAAAGAAAAATTACTTATGGTTGTTTCCAGTGTAGGAATTTATATATTTATTATTAAATGTTATTTTTTCTTCACAAAATATTTGTCAAAAAAGTTGGAACAAGTGGGAAATTTCACAGCTAGATTATTCATAAACAGCATAAATTCATAAACACACTTTTGCAGTTAAACGATAAAATATTATAGATTGTAATATTACAGTTAAAATATTACAGATTGGTTTATAGTTTTTTTAACACATTATGTTAGTCAGCTAGCTAGATAACAACGTGGAAAACATCAGTAAACATCACAGAAAACCAAACGTTTGAGTTTGCAAAAGAGCTGCATGATTGTGGATAAATTGTCTATCACTTTTTTTGTGTTGCTTAGAATAGAGATGCAATTCTAAAGAAAATTTTTTATTTTAGTGATTTACAAAACCTAAATGTTAGTGTCACGTTTAGGTCTTGGATCTGTTTGTTTCTCGTTGTTTCCTATTCCTTTTGTTCTGTTTTCCCGCTGTTCATAGTAACTATGGATTTTAATTTGTCATTTGCACCTGTTCTATTTTTCCCTTAATTATACTCCCTGTGTTTATAAGCCCTTAGTTTCCTTTGTTCAGTGTTCGATCTCATTTATGTTAACGTTGCATGTGGAACTGTATTCCTGGGATCTCCTGCTATATTGCATTAAAGAGTTTTCTGTTATATCCGTATCGTCGTGCGCTTCATCGCAGCCATCCAATCCGTGACAGTTAGGCTACTAAATAAAATATCATGTAATTTACTAGCGGTTCTGATAAAATGTCCTTTGCTTCAGACTGTTTAAATATGTAAACAAAAAGTAGGAAGTATGTGAAACAAAATATGGAAATATTAATGGAAAAATTTAAATTGACATTCGAAACACTAGGCTACTGGTTTACATACAAGTACAAATATGATAATTACAAAAAAAAAAATTATACACATACCAATCATATGTGTATATGCGTATACACGTACACGCGCAATCACGTACACATACTAGCGTAGAGCGAAATATATAACATCTTGATTGGTTGTATCATTGTAAAATCCTACTGTATCACCGCCTATATGACTCTGTTTAATGCAACTTTAAGGCATAAAGATATTAAGATAACATTGTGACCTTCTGTAAAGCTGCTTTGAAACAATGTGTATTGTGAAAAGCACTATATAAGTAAATCTGACTTGATGATTAATCATGCTTTAGTATGCAAGACATAAAATTTGATGAGCAAGATCAATTGACAGTTCAAGTATTAGTTCAATCAACTGAGCCTTGCTATCTGTTAATGTCCACGCATAGAGAATGTGTTGTGCTTAGGAAACACAGGTATTATTGTGAAATACTTATTGAGGGTCAAAAGGAGAATGCAGGCTTCACTAACCTTTTAGGAGCACCAGTGGACGGCAAGCTCAGATTCTGTATTCTCTGTTTAATGTCAATAGATATTTCAGCAGGTGTGACGTCTCTTTTGTTGAAGGTGTCCCTGTGCTGAGATATTGCAGATCGATCGAAGAGGAGGCTGATCCGTCTTTTAATGCTGCATCCCGCCTCTTCGCTCTCCACCGGAGACTTGGACTCAGACACTGCTGAAGGAGAAAGTGGTGGCTCCTCTTTCTCCGGCTTGCTGCTTTCAGCATCTCTCCCCACAGTATCGGGCTGAGACGGTGACTGGAACTTGGAGGTCAGATCCGCGGAGAGACGGTTTCGAGCTGGCCAGCATCGTGAAGGCACTTTGACGTCTGGATCAGTGTCGCCGGCTGCTCCTTGTTCCTTCTGGTTGAGGATCTTTTGATTTTCCCGAGAACCCAAGGATTTTGCTCTGCTCCTGGGGTGAACGTTCTTCACATCTTCAGCGGTTACATCAAGCTTTGAGTTTGGACCAGTTGTGTCGGGACTCTTAGTAGGTTCTGGTTTAGGCTTAGCCTGTAAGTCAGGTTTTGGGCTGAGCGGGACGGGTTTAGGAGCTGCACTTTGATCAGACCCATTTACAGTGCCATTTGAGTCTGATGTTTCCAGACCACCAGCATGAGTGGTATTCAGAAATGTTTCAGAAGAGGCGGCTCGATGGAGCTGTCTGGTGAAGTTGGTTTTGGGGGCCCGGATCGGGCGGACGGTTGCATTCCTTTGCAGGGAAAATGGTTTGGCTGTGAGGAGGGGTTTCGGGTTCAACGCTGGCTTCTCTGTGTCTCCTGGGACTGAAACTGAAGGTTTGTCTGGGTTAATGAGCGGTTGGCCCATTTCCCTTGTGGTCGCCTCCACCCATGCAGCCATGGCTACACACTGCACCTGGATGGGGAAACAAGAGAAACACCTCTGTGGGATCTCAGTGGTATAAATACACTTCTTTCGGATGTTACTATAAACACGCTTGGAAGAGCGTGTTCGAAAATGGGTGAACCAATGGTTCAACGGCCCATTCATAAAGAGAGCCTTTAGGTGTGTTCGACATCAAAGTATTAGAGAGCACACACTCCATGTTCTTTCGAATCATCTGCGCATCGCTGCTTCAAGTTGAACACACCTATTTACTTAATTCCTGAGCGAATCAGTCGTTTGAACTAATCAAATTAATAAATGTTTCAATGACATTCTCATTTAGACATTTACCGCCACCTACCAGCAGTTTTAGTTTCTTATTTAGAGTATCATTTCATTAAAATAATAATTTCATATTTTGGGGATAGTTTGTCCAAAACAAAAATTCAAGTTATTTACATTTACTCACCCTTGTGTCGTTTCACACCTGTATGACTTTCTTTCTTTTGCGTAACATAAACGAAGATATTTTGAAGAATGTCGGGATGCACAATGTATCGGCCACCATATCGGTATCGAACACCGATATATGTTCATTTTTAAAGTTATCAATATCGGCCCAATAAGAAAATTTGGCCAATATATTAAAGCTGATAAATAATGGATTATTTCCTTCACCTGCACACTGTTGTGATGGTTTTAATTTGCTTGAAATATGATTGGAATCACTTAAAAAATGGAAAATACAGTTAAGTGCAACATGTGCAGTGTCAAGTCTGTCATATAGGCTACATCAAATTATAATGAGAACATTATAACTGTATGCTTGGGACGTGTCTTTCAATGGTGAGACTTTTGCTTTTGTAATCAGGCTCTCAAAAATTATATAAAAATTCGGATTTAGATTTATCGGCCAATATATCGGCTTTCAAATATAAAAAATATCGGTTATCGGTATCGGCCAAAATGTTAATATCGGTGCATCCCTAATGTTGGTAACCAAACTATTTTGGTCTGTAAATATATCGAAATACCAATTCAGAAAAAAAATCATGGCCATTGTAGCCTAAAATTGTATGTGTAGTAAATTCGGTAACGCTTCCTTTTACAGTCCTGTTACTCATACTTACTATGTACTTATTATAGTAATTATAATTACTGGGTAATAACTAGGTACTAACCCTGAACCTACCCCTAAACCTACCCCTAACCCATGTACTTACCTTATATTAGCCAGTACTTTCTAGGTAAGTACACTGTAAGTACACGTAAGTACTGTACTGTAAAAGGAAGCGTTACCGTAAATTCTATGTTGAATCAAATAAATTATTTATTTATTTCTAAAGCTACTTTTTGTAATGTCTATTTGATGCTTTTCTAATTTAACACAATAATGACTTTAAATTATATTTTGGCGGTAATTTCTCAGTCAAATTTGATGTGCGATTAATTTGCTTTTAATTAGATTAATTAATCGGCACATCATGTAAATAATTAGATTATAATATTCATATATACACTCACCGGCCACTTTATTAGGTACACCTGTCCAACTGCTCGTTAACACTTAATTTCTAAGCAGCCAATCACATGGCGGCAACTCAGTGCATTTAGGCATGTAGACATGGTCAAGACAATCTCCTGCAGTTCAAACCGAGCATCAGTATGGGGAAGAAAGTTGATTTGAGTGACTTTGAACGTGGCATGATTGTTGGTGCCAGAAGGGCTGGTCTGAGTATTTCAGAAACTGCTAATCTACTGGGATTTTCACGCACAACCATCTCTAGGGTTTACAGAGAATGGTCCGAAAAAGAAAAAACATCCAGTGAGCGGCAGTTCTGTGGGCGGAAATGCCTTGTTGATGCCAGAGGTCAGAGGAGAATGGCCAGACTGGTTCGAGCTGATAGAAGGGCAACAGTGACTGAAATAACCACTCGTTACAACCGAGGTATGCAGCAAAGCATTTGTGAAGCCACAACACGCACAACCTTGAGGCGGATGGGCTACAACAGCAGAAGACTCCACCGGGTACCACTCATCTCCACTACAAATAGGAAAAAGAGGCTACAATTTGCAAGAGCTCACCAAAATTGAACAGTTGAAGACTGGAAAAATGTTGCCTGGTCTGATGAGTCTCGATTTCTGTTGAGACATTCAGATGTTAGAGTCAGAATTTGGCGTAAACAGAATGAGAACATGGAACCATCATGCCTTGTTACCACTGTGCAGGCTGGTGGTGGTGGTGTAATGGTGTGGGGGATGTTTTCCTGGCACAGTTTAGGCCCCTTAGTGCCAATTGGGCATCGTTTAAATGCCACGGCCTACCTGAGCATTGTTTCTGACCATGTCCATCCCTTTATGGCCACCATGTACCCATCCTCTGATGGCTACTTCCACCATGTCACAAAGCTCTAATCATTTCAAATTGGTTTCTTGAACATGACAATGAGTTCACTGTACTAAAATGGCCTCCACAGTCACCAGATCTCAACCCAATAGAGCATCTTTGGGATGTGGTGGAACGGGAGATTCGCATCATGGATGTGCAGCCGACAAATCTGCGGCAACTGTGTGATGCCATCATGTCAATATGGACCAAACTCCCTGAGGAATGCTTCCAGCACCTTGTTGAATCTATGCCACGAAGAATTGAGGCAGTTCTGAAGGCAAAAGGGGGTCCAACCCGTTACTAGCATGGGGTACCTAATAAAGTGGCCGGTGAGTGTATGTGTGTGTTAATTTACATGAGAAGCAAATTTGGATGATATATTAAGATTTTAGATGATATAATTGACAACATGTATGTCAAGCGCTATATAAATGTAATGAATTATTATTATTATTATTAAGTGATATACATGTTGCTTGCAAAATTATTTATTTTAGTCACATGGCTACTTTTGAATCACTGTCAAATGGAGAAAGATGCTTCCAGATGATGTAGTTGCAACATCTACAAGCACAGGTCTATGGGGCCATGCTAACCAGATCAACTGTTGATCTTTAGTAGTATTAAATTAGACCATAAAGCATACATGGATGAACACTTTTGGTGGACTATTTTAGGACACACTAAATTATTTACTTGAAGATTTTAGGTAATATGATTGTAATTACAAAATCTGTAGGTTAAATGTCAGCCATATATAAGTTTTCTGTTCCTGTGTTTGGCCTTTTTCAAATTAGGTGACATTGCATTTATGTTTCTCCCTAAAGCTTCTTCCCACACATTGTGTTGTTCACTTTAGTGGCTAGCTAAAAAAAGAGAGAAGAAATCCCAGAACTATGAGGAAACATCTGAGCATCAATATCAATGCAGTAAAAGTGAGATAAGGAAAGAGTTATGTAATGCCCATGCAAGTGGTCGAAGGTTTTTGGGATTGTTTAATCAATGTGCACTCTGGAAAATTGCTGTTCTGATTTAGTAAGTAAATAAATAGTCACTTAGTCGACACTTTTATGCGTCATTCAGCATTTTCGCTTTCAGTATGAACAAAAGAATAGCTTGTTCTGGAAACTTGTCACATAGCACCTGTTAGGACTTTAGTTGGAACTTGGAAGATGTGCTTTAGCCACCGCAATGGTTTGCCTGGTTAGTTATACCAGTTTGTCAGTATCGGTGGATGCCATAACAACCTCATATAAGGAAAAACCTTGTTCATAAGATCTTCTTAGTATTTAAACAGAATACATGCTCGCTTAAGATAAAATGTATTTACTTGAGAAGCAAAATCGTGTAAGATTATAAGATGTTTTCAGAGAATATATCTACTGTTTATATTTCTCACCCCATTTTGGCGAAGCATAAAACCTCGTTATAGATTTATGCTTAAAATAAGAAAAACTATTTGCTAATAGGATAAAAATATATATTATAAATACATTTCATTCACAATATTAAATAAGAAAAATATTAAAAATACTATTAATCAAAATAATTTAATTCAAGATATAGCCTATTCTCAAAAAAAAAAAAAAAAAAAAAAAAAAATTGCTATATGTTAAACAAGACAAAATGTTGATTAAGAAAATTCGTTTTTACAGTGTATATAGGAGAAAAATCTTTTTTTTCACCAGCGACACACCAGTAAAGCAAAGATGACAGCAAGCAGGTTGTGTATTTCTGTTGCTGCGTGCTATGCATGCTAACAGAGATCTGAATAAATGAATGAACACTTCAGCAGCCATAAACTTATGAAATCAGTGCACTCTGGGAAAGACACAAAGGCCAATCCAGTTGGTTTAGCTCTGTGAGGCCATGTTACTCTGGTTGGGCTAGATTTTTAAGTTTTCCCATCCAACTAGAGTTACTCAAACAAGGAGCGACTAGACGTTTCTCTGCAGGCTATTTATCACACACCCTGCGTGACCCACAACAAATGACCAGTATCACTCGTGCCTGATGTTTGACTCTGAAATCATATCAAATGCCATCCACATGGAAAAATTTCTCAATTGCAACAAGCTGCAATAGCCTGAAGTGAACTGGAGCAATCTGAATGTTGACATTTCGAAACCGTTGCCTATGTTCTCTTATCATTGTGCAAAACTCACAGTGCTAAACAAGTGGTTAGAGCATGGCTTGTTGTGAGTGTTTAGGACAAAATCCCTACTCAGACTGTAAAGTTAGGCAAAGATGAGTTCTTTCTGACTTCCATAAAAAAAAAAAAAAAAAATTAAAAAAAATCCTTTCCTCTAAATCCTCGCTTGCCTGGCTTATGCTACTCCGAGCTATGTCTGAACTTTGTATTTTGAGCACTTCTTGCATTGTTTTTGCCTCTTCACGATGACTGGTTTAGTCCTAAGTTGTAAGTCGCTTTGGATAAAAGCGTCTGCTAAATGACTAAATGTAAATGTAAATGTACTTCCAATGGCCACAAGCAACAGAAAATCCTTCAAACGAAAACATTGAAACATTATACACAGGTGGAAAAAAAATTCTGGCTTGACATAAATCTGTCTTCGTTGAACAAACCGGTCCAACAGCAAGCCAGTATTGTCAGATGAGATAGCTGGAGAAAATATGTTATACTCAGAATATATTGTAATGCTAATGGCTGACAGATGTTTTGTCAGCAGCACAACCGGGTTATCAGACAATTCCTTATCGGTATTGGAGTTGCCACTTTGCAAGATGTTTAGAATTATAGCTGCTAAGAAACATGTTCAGCTCATGGAGACACTTTAAATAAATTAGATTATTAAAATGCATACAAGTCGTTCTCCGCTTATTGAGATCCAATCATTTTGACACTCTAATAAAATGAAGACCTGGTGGTCAAAGGACAGAGTTAATTAATGTTCAAAGTAAGTAGGTTCACAGCATATCCAGTTTACACTCACCAGGAACATATGCAAATTATTATGCACAGATTTGCATGCTGAGCTTATTACATCCCAATGGACAGTCCAGAGAGGAGCTTTCTTTTTTTCGTCAGTCAGGTTAAATATTAGTTATTTACCTGCATTTCTGTCATGCTTGGCTGAATTTAAAATATGTACACTTCAAAATAACTTTTATTGAACATTTTACACTTTTCTAATAACCAACGACATTATCATTATTGAATGAATTAAATGTACATTTAAATATAAATGGCATTAAACTTTCATTTATGTTTTCATATAAGCATTAATGTAGCTAAATGAGCTCTTGGTGGTCTATATAAAGTCATTGACTTATTATTAATGATTTTACATAGGCCTATATTATAAAATAAAAATAAAAGCTTATATAACAGGGGCACAGTAATCTACACCTGTTGGTAATAAGTAACTTATTAATATGTGTCTCTTACAATGAACCATCTGTCTTTGAACCCTGTATAATTTCCAGCGGTGGAAAATATAGCCTACACAATTTTTTTGCAGTTTATACAGAATAATTAACAAAATAAATATAACGGCTGAAATAAGTATAACCTACCATTTATTTACATTGGAGACAGAATGAAAGTTATCATTTAGCATATTAAATCCGCAAATAAACAAGTTAAAACAATGTCCATTTACCTGTAGAGTGATAGAAATTATTCCATAAGATTGTACATATATATATTCCAAGCTCAAATACACGTCTGCGTGCTTTAGGGTTATAGGTGTGCGTGTGCAGTTCAAACTTTAAAGAAAGGAGGGCGGGTTGCAAATTTACGAATCCTACTGCGACTGCTTATCTCATGAATATTAATTTGACGTCCCTTGGTAACCTTCCGGGAGAGTCACTCACGCAAACTAATTAATATTCATAAGCAAGACTTCGGCAGAGCTTGATTCGTTTATTGGATAACTGCGTTGCCTTTCGGCCAATCAGCTGAGCAAACGGCAATTGCGTAATTAATATTCATGAGCCAGGCCGGTAATGACGTTTCCTGTCATCAGCACTCGCAGCTGCGGTCTCGAGGTGTTGCTCGCGGCCACTCCTCTTATAAACGTGCTTCTTCAACCGGAAAAACCAGTAGAGTTGAATGGAAGAAAGACACGGGGTGTGTAGAAAACACTGTATAAGGTGGGAGACACAAATATAGGAACATATTCCATTGTAAACCGCGTGGAATCTAATTAATTGACTTGACAACAGCATGTTGTATAAACATTCATTCAAAATCCCTGACAACTTTCTAACTGTAGAGTTTCGTGCCAAAACTTTGTACAGACCTGTCGACAATTAATCTTTAATACATGATTGGACAAACGATTTTTCCCACCTCGGAAAATCAGGTATTCCCCAAATTCTTCCAATGAAAGGTTACATTGTCTGTACATTGAAGGCTTTTAAAACGTCAAAATTCGAGACAGTGCTTTGTCAGCCAACATCAGTGCTTGTCTTTATGAACTTTAAGAACTTTTGAAGTTAAATAGTTATTGTTTTCATCGCTGATTTCAGATGAAATATGGCCTGTCATCTGTCCATATTTCTAATCTACCCATATTTAAATTAGAGTAGACTAGAGTAACACTCTTGCTGGTGCAATATTAATTTTATCTGTATACTTTTTTATTATATTTGGTGAATCGTAAGCAGTGGACACCGAAAGCATTGTTTATTTTACTTTAAAGGCAGGGTAGGTGATTTGTTCCAGAAACATTTTTTGTTATGCTGGTTGAAAGTCTCAGCATCTTATAGCAATCACTAAGTTAAGTGGTCTAAATGTATATATATATATATATATATATATGTATCTGTATATCGTCTGTGGAAGGCGTAGGTAGGAGCATAAAATGTTCGTCCAATCATTGCATACGGACCGAATGCAATGATTGGACGAACATTTTATGGTCCTACCTATGATGTCCTACCTGCCTGTCAACTTATGTATTTTCATACCTTTGCGCACCTGCTTGCGCAGACATCAGCGCGTTTCATGCTATGCAGAGTCAAGCCTGGTTTATACTCTTTGTGTCGCATGAGTATAAAGGTGCGCTTGGGAAAAATGGCGTCATCGCAGTGTGGGCGGTCGTGCGCGTTGAGTACGGTACCCCATTTCACGTGGCGGTCTGCACCGCATTTTTTTTTACTTTGTGTGCGGCTTTGCTGCCAAAGATGCACGACTTCGAAACGATTCTGGCCGAGCAGGTACGCTTGTTCCGGCATCTTACCGGCACCCGGTTTGCGCTTGTCTGAAATATTCGCTTACATTTACAAAATGAGCCGACAATAGCAGTAATAAGCCTTTTTAATGAAAATAAGGGTCCATGTTTAATAAAAAATAATAATGAATTTAAATGAAAATGTTTGAAATTAGAAAATATTTAATAGATTGTTGTTTAATTTAGTTTTATTCGTGTTCTCGTATCCATATATTTTGTTTTTATTGTCACAAGTATTAATCTCAAGGTTTACTGGGTTTTACAAGATTCCTTGGTTCTTTTGTAGTGTGTAATAAAAACAAACATCATTACATATATACCTTACTTCTCACCGCTGCTTCCTGATGGTTTGGACAGTTACTCCAAATTGCCTCGTCGTTTCAAAGAATTTTTGAAACGCCGTCGGTGTATGAATGGGTGAATGTGAGGCAATATGTAAAGTGCTTTGGTGGCCATTGGGTCTGTGAAATACCTATATAAATGCAGTCCATTTACCATTTACCAGAATAGTGCAACGGCGCACACGTCAAGTATAAACGGCCAGTCCGTTTGGGGAGGAAACAGCAGCCACCTTTTACAGTTCACGTTCATGTCATAACTACTGCAATTTGGATCCGCGATGTTACACTCGGAAGCGGTTCGTGACTCGAATTTATGCATTTCAATTGCAACACTATCAACGCCGTAATGAACCTGCAGCAGTCAGGTGGTACAGGTCAGTGCTCTTTAAGTTGTTTATGTTCATTGTTATTGTAATGTTATGGGCCTTGAGACATGAGGTAGTTTAACGGTGTCTCTTGTGACGCTTTTGTTTGCTCCCTGCTGTTTGCGTTCATGTGTTTTAAAGGAGGCGTGGCTTTGTAGATGGCGCTCTGAAGGGAGGGTGGGATCTTATGCTTAAAGCTAGATCGCCATTGATAGCCTAGCTCCGAAAATTGCCTACCCTGCCTTTAATTTAACCATGCATTTATAAGGGATATTGTCAACATCTAAATTTAGTGTGACAACACTCAGATAGTTAGACTTTGGTCAAATGCACTTTTTATAGGTTAATATCTTACTAGAGTACAATGATTAGGAATATCTATACTGTTAACCCTAACAGTTGGCACATTTAAATGAGCAACAAAATCTTTAATGTGGCCAAAGGGAATTATATGATTTATAAACAATCCAATGAACTATCTCAAATTCACGTTTATAGTCCAGTGCATGTTCAATATATTTAGGCCTACCCCTTCGTTGCAGCTGTGTATTGATTGACAGAGGTTTTTTCCCCTTGTTGACAGAAGTCAGGGAAATTAAACCAATAACGAGTCAGGAATTTAAATACAACAGGAAACACAAAGGGACTAATGCACTTTAACAAAGGTTGATTTCACAAAATCCATATATGCATCAAAAAAATGTAGCACTGTCATGTTAACCTATAGATTCATGCGAGTTAAGTATTGCTGCTGTGTTGTGTCCGTAAGGCAATGTTTAAGATACTATTGTAGATTGTATTCATATTTTGAATTCGTTTTTATTTTTGCATTTTCCTTTTTTAGCGATTTTAGTTTTAGTAATATAATAACCCATGCTGTAAGGTTCTGAAAACTGTCATTTGAAATCAGTCATTTAAAGCAATAGTTTGCATAAGCAGTCCATATGACTTTTGCGCTACATCACGATATATTCTGAAGTCATATGATAGCTTTTTGTGAGGAACAGAACATAGTTTAAGTCATTATTTGCTGAAGGTCTTATCCATCACAGGTTTTAAATCTCATTAGTGCTCATTTCATTTCATTTTTTTTTTGTTTACTTCAAATGCATTTTTTTTTTTTTAGTTTTTTTTTTTAGTTGAAACCATGGTGCCATATAGAACCTTTTTTGGTTTTCAGTCGAGAAAGATTGTTAAGTTTGACGTCACTTCCATAGTGCAGAGCAATCTTGATATATTTAAATTAAATGTGAATGAGATTAAAGAACTATGATGGTGCGGAAGAATTTCAGTGCGTAACACCTTAAGTTTCATTCGGTCAAAGCTAAGTTCAGGGGCCGGTTTCACAAAGATAGACTTTGACTATGGCTTAGATATAATAGATAGTCAGACTTCAGATAGAGTAGATAGTCAGACTTCAGATAGACATCTAAATCAGACCGTTACACAAAGCACTTAAGACTCTATCTTAAAGGGTTAGTTCACCCAAAAATGAAAATTCTGTCAGTATTTACTCACCCTCATGTTGTTCCAACCCCGTAAGACCTTCGTTCATCTTCGGAACACGAATTAAGATATTTTTGGTGAAATCTGACAGCTGGATCACTCCTCCATACTAGTCCATAGGCTTCTTCAGGGATTGAACTTGTCGGCCTCGAAAAGTTATTAAAGACATCGTTAAAATAGTCCAAATGACTACAGTGGCTCAATCTTAAGTTTATCAAGCGACGAGAATACTTTTTGTGCGCAAAAATAAACAAAAATAAAGACTTTATTTCAACTATTCATGTCCTTCTCTTTGGGCCTCTAGTCAGTTAACGTAGTGTGATTCCGTAGAGCTACGTCACACGTAGGCTCACTATTGGCCGACGCTGGTCATGTGCGTGATGCGTGTGACGTACAACAACAGAAGCTTACGCTATTACACTAGTGAACTGACTCCAGGCCCAAAGAGATGGACATGAATAGTTGAAATAAAGTCGTTATTTTTGTTTGTTTTTGCGCACAAAAAGTATTCTCGTCGCTTGATAAACTTAAGATTGAGCCACTGTAGTCACTTGGACTATTTTAACGATGTTTTTAATAACTTTTCGAAGCCGGCAAGTTCAATCCCTGAAGAAGCCTATGGAGGAGTGATCCAGCTCTCAGATTTCATCAAAAATATCTTAATTTGTGTTCCGAAGATGAACGAAGGTCTTACGGGGTTGGAACAACATGAGGGTGAGTAATTACTGACAGAATTTTCATTTTTGGGTGAACTAACCCTTTAAGTAGGACTACACTGCAATGCATTCTGGGTAAAATAAGACACTTTTCAAAACAAAAAAATGGCGGATCGAGTAAGCGCATTCATCCGCTCAGTGCAGTTTACCCCAGCGGGAGACATGTGTTTGTTGGAGGAGTATAAGTTACAAGGACATTTTACTTGAGGAAATTTAGCGGAGAATGTAGTAACAAGAAGAAATGTTTAATTTGGAAAGGGCCATTTTGCTTTTGGCTGTTTGTTATGTAACTGATTATTACTGTTGGTTGCCAAGGTAACAGAGTCTTAGACCTAAGTTAGCCTGGGGGGTAAGGTGTCTAATTTTTTTGTGAAACAGTCTAACTTGCATTAGACTAGTCTATGAGCAAATTTTAGACTTGTCTAACACTATAGACCGGTCTAAAATAGCTTTGTGAAACCGGCCCCTGAAGACTTAGCAAACAAGCTCAACAGTTTATTTTCTGTTGTGTTCTACAGAAGAAAGCCATGTGTTGGGAATGACACTTCTTTAATGCAGCCTAAACATATTTAGTAGGTTTAACGTGTGTTGTTCACTCTCACTGAACC